AAGCCTTTGTGTAGTCAATAAAGCACAGGTAAACATCCTTCTGATATTCTCTGCTTTCAGCCAAGATCCATCGGACATCAGCAACGATATCTCTCGTTCCACGGCCTCTTCTGAATCCACCTTGAACCTGGTTTCAGTGGTTAAGCATTCAGAAATAATTCACCTCTCCTTCTTAGTCTGTGTTAGTCTGGAAGCTCTTCTGAAACCTGTCCATCATGAGTGACCCTACTGGTATTTAAAATACCAGTGGCATAGCTTCCAGCATCACACAAGCCAGCACAGTATGACAGTGGTGGTTTATAAAATAGGAAGGCAAAAGAAAAGAGATTTTTGAGTGATTTCTATATGGCTAGTCCATTTCTGCCATACTCTTATCTTTGGGTTTTCTGTTACTTGCAGCCTGATGCAATTTCTAAGAGCCACAAGTGACGTTAACAACAATGTGTGAGAAGAGGAACAGAATGTAGGGTAGTGTGATCAGGGAAGGATTCATAGAAAAGATGCAACTTTAGATAAAGTTCATCAAACTCTTTCTCTGCTCTCATGTAAGTTTGATTGTGCCATGTTTTCCTGACACATTCTTAATGTTATACCTGCTCCTGCTACGTTTACAGACCTAGGTTAGATTTTCCACCTAATTCTATCTATTTTATAAGTGACCCCTCAATATTGAAGGTGAAGCTAATGTCCTGGTATGGCATTGTAGGATAAGCACTAGACTGCAAAGTCTGTTTGAATTGCAAGATTAGTTGTTCAAACTCGCCATCTGCTACTCAGAAACCCTTTACAGAGTAGCTATGAGTAGAAAGCAACTTGACGGCACTTAACAACAACACATCAATAAAGATTTGGTTAATTGTGAAGCTTCTTCCAACCTAATCAGGATTCTGCCTTCCTCCAGCCTTCCCTTCTCACCTGTACCTTCAGCAGACAGCAGAGAAATGGTCAAAGCCACAGAGGAGGTGTCTTTGAGTTCATTGGGTACCTGAGTCAAGTGCACACAGCCTCCTTCCATCCCATCACTAACCCATTCTGCCCATGGGAAAATCTAACCACAAACTTCATTTAACACAGAATTTGAGGGTATCTTTTGATGTCTCCTCATAAATAAGCTATGGGAGTTTCTCAGTACCTGGTGTGGTATATCAAGTTACTCGCTTTTTCTGCATCCCAGCCAAGCCATGTCAGAATCCCAGGAAACATTCCCATCTTTAGCTTAAACCCAATGCACCAAGTTCTCAGCTGGTTGCCATCCGATCACCCCTTGAATCCCAACCGGAAAGAGACTCCACTTGACTAAGTCAGTTTCCTAAGACTTTCTTTTTCTCTCTTGGATGGGTTTGAATGTCCTGAAGATTTGAAAATTTTAGTGATTTTTTTTTAATTAAGAAATTTTCAAATATAGAAAAACACACAGTGAACTGCCCATCACCTAGACTCAACAATGGTTACAATTTTGCAGGTTGTCCCCAAACTATGTTTACTCAAACCA